TTTTTTTTTTTTTTTTAATTTGGCTTTATAAACAAGAGATTCATTTCTCATAGTTCTAGAGCCTGGGAAATCCAAGATCAAGGCACCAACAGATCCAGTGTCTGGTGGGAGCCCATGGTAATTTACATTTTTGAGAAGTTCTTAGGTGAGTCTCAGGCTGTTTGTCTGGGGACCGTATTTTGGGACCCCTTGCTATAGGGCAGTATACCTGGAAAATCCGTAAAGACAGAGTAGTGATGACGTGGCTCCTGGCAGCTTTTGTCAGGGCCAAGAGCGAGTCTTCTGAAAGCATTTGACACTGTGGGCAAAACACACACGCCCTTCTGGATTTCTCCTTTCTTATCTGTAAAACAGAGATTTAGACTATTGCTCACTGTCTCTCTTCACAATTCTGTAACTTTTATCGGGAAAGAATGTTTTCTTTAGCTTAGTGAGCTCCCCTCCCACACACACAAAAAAAGCTTAATCTGTTGAGTGTACCTATTAGTGACAGTGGTTCTGTTTTTAGTTCTGTTTTACTTCATAATGGCTTTGTGTCTCCCTGTTGCTTTGTGTGGTTTAGAGGGCATGGACTATTCATCAAGTTGTTTATTATTTTTATTTTAAAAAATTATTCAAATTTGTTATATATGATAGCAGAATGCATTTCAATTCATATTATACACATATATAGCACAATTTTTCATGTCTGTGGTTGTACACAATGTAGAGTCACACCATTCATGTCTTTATACATGTACTTAAGAGTAATAATGTCCGTCTCATTCCACTGCTTTTCCTACCCCCATGCCCCCTCCCTTGCCCTCTCTCCCCTTTGCCCTATCTAGAATTTGTCTAATCTTCCCATGTCCCCCTCCCAATCCCTGTTACAAACCAGCATCCTTATATCAGAGAAAACATCAGCATTTGGTTTTGGGGATTGCTTGACTTCACTTAGCATTATATTCTCCAACTCCATCCATTTACCTGGAAATGCCATGATTTTATTCTCTTTTAATGCCAAGTAATATTCCATTGTGTGTATATTTACCAAGTTGTTCTATTTATACCACCTGCAGTAGGCCTTTGGCTATGACAGATGGTGGCTGACCTCAGTCAATATGTTTGTTTTTTCCTGGGGGATCTGTGTGTTTACCTCTATACTATTTATAGAGTGGTATTCTCCCACAGATCACCACCCATTAGTGGGAGACATAATTAATTTAGGGGATTATGATCAGTTTTTAAAAAAGAAAAAGTAGAAAATGAGTGTCAGCATATTTCATGGAACTTGTCTAGTTACCCAAGTATGTATGAGTGTGTGCGTGAGACACAGAACGAGTTGTAGTTAAAAATATTTGAAAGTCACTTTCTTTAGAAGACAGAAAAGCAGTGAGGCTACTGTTGATGGCTAGTTACCCCAGGACAGGGAGACTGGCTCAGCTGGGAACCACGTGGGGAGGAGATCTGCACCTTGCTTTATTCCTTTTAAATTGCTTTTGAAATTTGAATCATGACTTTGTGCTATCTGTGGGGGTGGGGGGGAAAGGCTTGAGTTCCAGCATTGCTGCCTTTAGAAATGATGGCTGCAAAATAGCTGAGGCAGAGTTGGCATGTGGCACAGTGTGGCCTCCAGTAGGCACCCAGTAAATATTCTAGCTGTATTGGGAGAATAGTGCGAATTATCATGTATGTGTGCATAGTGCTGAAGGTTGAACCCAGGGCCCCTGTACTACTTAGTTACATTCCCAGCACTTTTCTTAGTGTAGTTTTTAATTTTTAATTTTGAAACAAGTCTTACTGAGTTCTTGAGGCTGGCCTGGAATTTGAATTCTCCTGCCTCTGCCTTCCTAGTAGCTGGGATTACAGGCAGGTGCTGCTGTACCTGGCTTGAGTCAATTTTGGATGGGGGGAGGGGTACCGGGAATTGAACTCGGGGGCACTTGACCACTGAGCCACATCCCCAGCCCTAATTTGTAGTTTTGTGTTTTGTTTAGAGATAGAGCTTCACTGGATTGCTTAGTGCCTCACTTTTTTTTTTTTTTTTTTTTTTTTTTTTTTTTGCTGAGGCTGGCTATGAACTCATGATCCTCCTGCCTCAGCCTCCCAAGCCGCTGGATTACAGGCGTGTACCACTGCACCTGGCTTGAGTTGATCTTTGTAAAAATGGCAGATGATAGTAGAGGAGTCTAGGAGAGGCACTGGAGACAGAGACATGATTCGAGCAAAGACAGTGATAGAAATGAGCCCTTGTGTGCTCAGAGGCCAGGGAGCACAGGTTGATCACAGGTATCGGTAAGTCAGAGGGCATTTGGAAACCAGGCAGCTGAAGTGGCTTTGCACATAGAAAGTAGGTCCTTTGGCCAAGGTTGGACATTTTGTTTGTCTTATATTTTAAATTTTTTAAAATATTTTTTTAGTTGTAGATGGACACAGGCCTTATTTATTTGTTTTTATGTGGTGCAGAGGATCGAACCCAGTGCCTTACATGTGTCAGGCAAGTGCTCTTTCACTGAGCCACAACCCAGCCGCTTGTCTTACTTTTTGTAATGGAAAATCGGAAGTGTGTAACACACATCCTATGTACCTGCCCCCAACTTCGACAGTTACCAGCTCATAGCCAGGCTTGTTGGTTTGTTTTTTCCCTTCACTGTGGGGATTGACTGCTGTTGAAGTGCTGTACCACTGAGCTCCACCCCACTCCCAGACTGTAACCTTCCTATGTCCTTTTCCACACTCCGTTAGTTATTTTGAAGCATATTCTAAATTTATTATTAGAAGAGCCTAATTCTTTTTGTGTGTGTGTGTGTGTGTGTGTGTGTGTGGTGCTGGGGAGTGAACCCAGGGTCTCATGCATGCAAGGCAAGCACTCTACCAACTCAGCTATATCCCCAACCTGAGCCTAATTCTTGTGTAGATATTTTGGTAGTTTCAAAAGGGATTTTTTTTTTCCATTTTTTTAAATTTCAAAAAGGGATTTTTGAAAACATAACTTGTGTTATAATCATGCATAAAACAGTTGACAGAAATCCCTAATACCAAACCATTTTAAGTCTAAATCAGTGTTTAAATTTTCCTGATTGTGAACTATTTTGCTATTGGAATCAGAATTTGAATAAGATCAGGTGTTGACATTTGTCCCTACTGCCTTTTGTGTCTCTTTATATCAGTTAGATCATCTTTCCTGGATACTGGTAGTTAGGTCTGGAGGCTTGAGCAGATTCAGGTTGGTAGGTTATTTTGGGCAGGATCATTTTAATTGGGAGGCAGATAATGTCTGCTTTGCAATTTCTTTGTGAACCTGTAAGTTGTTAATGATTATCCATTGTGTCATTAGAGGTTACTGAATACTGATATTGTAGTTCTTTCCTACTTCCTTTCTTTATTGGGTGGATACTTCATAGGCACAGTTCCTCATCAATTGCTTGGTTTCCTATAGTTCACATAGGAAAGGGAGGTAGGAGAAATGCTTGACTTGTTTTCTTTATTTATTAGTTTTCAAAATAAAACAAGTTTGTTCTGTCAATTAGACATCCTCAAAGACAAGGTTCTGTTTCTTTTTTTTAATTTAATTTTTATTTTATTATTTAGTTTTTTTTAAAAAGTGAGAGAGGAGAGAGAGAGAGAGAGAGAGAGAATTTTTAATATTTATTTTTCAGTTCTCGGCGGACACAACATCTTTGTTGGTATGTGGTGCTGAGGATCGAACCYGGGTCGCACGCATACCAGGCGAGCGCGCTACCACTTGAGCCACATCCCCAGCCCTTATTATTTAGTTTTAAGTAGACCCAATATCTTTATTTTGTATTTATGTGGATCTAACCTAGTGCCTCAAGCATGCTAGGCGAGAACTCTACCTCAGAGCCACAATCCCAGCTCTCTGTTCCTTAAGGAGGTGTCATTTTTGAAACATAAATTTAAATGTACTAGGTTAGTTTCTATACATTACAGTTATTCTTACTGATGATCATATTAATGATCTTATTAATCCTGGTTTTGGGTAATGGGGGCTTCTTGTTGGCTTTAGGACCTTAGGAGCTTTCTAGTATTAAAATATGTTCCAGGATCATGTTTATATTTTTAGCTCTAAACCTAGAAATTAGAGTTCTGGTTCCTTTAGTGGAAAATGGCCTTTTAATACCACAGCTTGGCTCACAGCTGCAGGGTCATTTATTGGTTTTAGGCCATTTTATTTGTTTGTATTTTATTTAGAGACAGGGTCTCACTGAGTTGCTTAGTGCCTTGCTTTTGCTGAGGCTGGCTTTGAACTTGTGATCCTTGGGCCTCTTCCTCTGGAGCTGCTGGGATTATAGACATGCACCACAGTGCCTGCCTCCCCAGCTCTTTTTATTTTATTTTAAGACAGGGTCTTGTTGAGTTGCCTAGGCTTACCTTGAACTTGGGATCTTCCTGCCTCAACCTTCTGAGTAGCTGGGATCACAAGCTTGCATCACAGCCCCCAGAGACTCCCCCACAGGTTCTTTATTTACTTTGGATTTTTAGTATTGCTCTGAAAATTTTAGTTTTAATAAATGAGAAATATTTGTGTTCAAAGTCAGATCTATAAATAATAAGCAAAGTGATTTAGATCCCCCCCCCCCCCCCCCCCCCCCCCCCCCCCCCCCCCCCCCCCCCGTTCTTTCCCCACAGTAACCATGGCATTTTTGGCTTCATTTTGATAATGTCAGCAGCAGTGGAAGAAAGTCCAGGTCTCTTGACGTCCCCATCCAAGTGTTTTGTGGGTGGAATAATTTGAAGTCTTATGCTTGTGCTGATTCATGCTGTCCCCTCGCCAGCCCTTGTGGGGGCTTCTGTGGCTGTTCCTGTTTACAGCCTTTGCCTCCCTTCCCTCTGCACCGCAGTGTCTTTTCAGCACCTTTCTCTCTGTGAGTCAGAGACTGGAGCAGATCGCTTCCTCTGCAGCACCTCGCACACGGCCAGACATATAGCAGACAAAGTACAGATGGAAAAGTGCTCTCTTTTACTCCTTCAGGTGGAATATAATCAGTCTAGGCTTCTCAGGGTCAGGCACTTCAGATTTTCTTAATAATTGCACGTCCTTTGCTGTATTAGTKTGAAGGCTGAGCCAGAGAAACAGTGGGTGTGTGATTTCAGTGGTCCGAATTCTCAGTTTTCTCACTGAGCAGGAGGGTGACGTTGGGCAACATTACTTTAAGCTTTTTTTGCTTGATTTCCTCATGTAAAATGGGGGATAGTTGAACCTACAATGTAGGATTGTTGAGAGAAATTGCAGCAGTTCCTGGCCCACAGTAAGTTATTGCATAGTTGTTTGCTATTATTACCAGTAGGAGGTGCAGGTGAAGATGAAGGTCTTGAAGCTGAAACATAGCCCTATATTTGAAGAACTCATAGGACTCAGCATTTAATTGTTTTCTCAGCTGATTTTATGACAATGATGTAATAAGTCTGCACAGGCGGTGATAACAGAGACAAGAATGGTCTGTGGACTCCAAGGCCTCCTTCTCCAGCAGGGAGTGCAGGAGTGTGTGCGCCTTGCTTCTGTGTGGGAAGGCCCTGCGGAGCTCAGCATCCACAGGTTTTATTGGGACCTGGTCTCATGGCACCTTCTACTTAGTGAATACCCCCAGGAAGAAAACCTGCTTGGCATAAGTCACAATGGTTTACATTGTCTGGGCACAGGGAGCCCCCTTACCAATGGGACTAGGACACCCTAGGAGCCATGCTTGCTAGAGGTCACCCTGTAGGCAGGCCTTGCTGTGAACAGTTGGTCTCAGGCATCAGGTGAGCTCTGTTCTTCACAGGTTAAAATGGTGGCACTCCTTATTCCAGAATGGGCATGGCTGTCGGTGATGCTGGGTGTGGAGGCTGTGGTGTGTGCTCAGGTGCCCTCATCTTTGCCCTGTTTCTTTTCCAGAATGGCTTTGACTACTTGCTGACATACAGTGACAATCCCCAGACTGTGTTTCCTCGCTACTGTGTTAGCTGGATGGTTTCCAGCGGTGAGTGGAGATGTGTGTCAGGGCTGGGAACTGGGGCGAACATTTTGTTTTTCTCTGTCTTCTTAATGGCAGCACTGAATCTCTGTAATCCCTGCTACAGAAATTCAGTGCCCTTCCCAGTTCATTCTGGTCTCCAGGTGGGATTGTAAGAATGAGAATTATAGGGTCCCAGAAAGGAACTTGTACTCAGAGGAGACTTTTTATTTTAATTTTTTTTAGTACTGGGGATTGAACCCAGGGGCACTTAATCAGTGAGCCACAATCACAACCTTTTTTTTTTTTTTTTTTAATGAGACAGGGTTTCACTAATTTGCTGAGACTAGCTTTGAACTTGGAATTCTCCTGCCTCAGCTTCCGGAGTTGCTAGGATTGAAGGCATGTGCCACTGCACCTGGCCAGAGGAGAGTTTCTAAAACATATGCTTCAATGTCTTAAATATAGACTGTGTACTTTAATGTATTTAATTTTTTTTTTTTTTTTTTTTTTTTTGCAGCTGGGGATTGTACTTAGGGGCACTCAGCCACTGAGCCACATCCCTACCCTCCTTTTTTTTTGTATTTTATTTAGAGATGGTCTCACTCAGTTGCTTAGTGCCTTGCTTTTTGCTGAATGGCTTTGAATTCCTGATCCTCCTGCCTCAGCCTCCTGAGCCGCTGGGATTATAGGCATACACCACCACACCAGGCTTAAATTTTTTCTTTAGTAGTGTTGAAAACTCTTAAGATTCTGGCCTAGAAAATATGATTTTGGGCAGTCACCTAGGGAAAGGGCCACCACCCGTGTAAGAGAGGCTGCACATCACAGCTGTAATTTCACCTTCCCCTTCTAACGTCGTGTCTCAGAAAGCATCCTCGTGATTGTTTTCTATAGGCATTTGCTTATTCCTTGGGGGAAATGGAGAGAAGATTGTTTCTGTTTGACATTTATCTAAGTTAAATTGGCAGTTATTTTGACATGCCACTGATGTGTATTTTAATCACCTCAAAGAGCCTTTTGGGATTTCAGTGGCCTGATCACTGCCCCTTCTGCAAGGATCGTAGGTTGTGAGTGTTTTTGCAGTCCATGCAGAGGGAACACCTTCTGGTGGCAGCTGTCACTTGTAGTTTGCCACTCAGGCTGCCTTGGTATGAGGAAGAGCAGCTCCCCACCACCAAAGAGGGGGCCGTGCAGCTTTGGGTCTTCTGTTGGTTTCTGGTCGTCTTAACTAGACCCCCGTCTTCCTCAGGCATGCCGGATTTCCTGGAGAAGCTGCACACAGCCACTCTGAAAGCCAAGAACATGGAAATCAAAGTGAAGGACTATATCCCGGCAAAGCCTCTGGAGATGAGCAGCGAGGCCAAGGCCACCGCCCAGTCATCGGAGCGGAAGAATGAGGGCAGTTGTAGCCCTGCTAGGATCGAGTATGCCTAAAGGGCATTGGGAGAAGATGGGACAGGTCCTTCCAGCCCTGTCTTGGTCCCTCCCTCTGCCACAGAATGGGGAAAAGCCATGGAGGCATGTGCGTAACCATCAGTGCAAGATCATTCAAGGACTAGTGTCTGATTTCCTTCCAAGCCCTGTGCTGCTCTTGATCAGAGAGGAAGCGGGATCCATGGAGGCGCTGCCGTGTTCTCAGGCTGACCAGTTTGAAATTCAGTATTTGACTGAGCTGATCTGGAACAAGCCTCTCACCTCAGGTTGGAAGTGGACGACTCTGTTGGCTTCCCCTGAATGGTTCCTTGCTGACATTCCAGATCCCACCATGGGTTTTGCAGTGCTGGAATTTCCTCCAGTTCTGAAGGTCACCTGGGAAGTTTGGGTGGCCAGTTATTTCTTCAGGAGGGTCACTGGGAGTGCTCTTGGTAACAGTCTTGGTGTGAATGGGTGTAAACAGCTCTTGGCCGTGTTAAGTGCCTTGTCCTCACCTTGCTTTTATCTTTAGGGGCATGAAGTTTGTACCAAGAAATTCTCTCCCTGCAAAATACTTCCCTTGGCTCACTCACCTGACCCCAGACATTTTCATGGGAACTGGCCAGCTCCATGCTCGTGCGCTATAGTCACCGAATCCTTTCCTCTTCCCAGCCTTCGCTGGGAGCACTGGAGATGAGTTTCTGTATCATCAGTGTTTTGACAGGGTCAGTAGAAAGGCTCAAACATCACATTTAAATTTATTTTATTTTATTTTTTTTTTAACTTTATGTCAAAAAGGAGTTGGGGGTGTTTTCTCCATAGTAACACAGTATAGAAAACAGTTCTTTGGTTCAGGCATTATTTTCCTCACCTGAGGTTTGACTTGTCCTCCTCAGAAGGCAGAGGAGGGGGGCTGGGCTGCCCCCTTGGAGTGCTCAGCACTTAGACCAGCTGCTGTCTAGACAAGCAGATGTAATCTTGTCCCAGATACTAATATGATAGGGATGTGGTGTATGTGATCCTCTGTTCCTCTAAAAAGTTTTTCCTCCTCTCTCGAGAGCTGAAATGAAGGCAAACCGTACCATTTAATAAGGTCACAGCCACATGGTATCTGCTTGGTCTCGGTTTTGCCAATGGTTCTGTCACAGTGTGTTGGGAGAATAGGGATCAAATTTTTAAAATCCTCCTCCCTCCTTTCTTTTCTGGAGTTCAAATGGCTAAATTTTTACCTTTTTTCCTGCTTGCTACCCTGTTGTGTTGGAAAGGGTTTCTAAACCTGGAACTAACCTAAACCCCTCTTGACCTTCTTGTTGCCTGTCCAGTTTTGTGCCAAGGAAGTAACTGTTCCCGTTCATGTCTCCTGAGTCACTGGCAGAGCAGAGAGGTCCTGGGTGATCCCAGCAACTTTGCATTGAGGATTTCTTTCCTTCCCCAGAGGAGCCAGGGAAGAGTCCCTGGGTTATTAACGTCCGAACTTAGTGCCTGCCAGTGTGAGTGGGTGTGTGTGAGAGAGCGTACCTGCGTGCGTGTGCACAGGTGCTAAGCAGCTGTGGTTGCCCCATATTCTGATTTAACAGCAGTTTGACTCTGTAGAGTTACTTATGTCATTGTAATGAATTCACTCCTAACTGTGACATTTTTATCAAATGTGTGAATAAATACGTAAAGATTGGTACAAAGGAATGTTTGTCTCTGAATGGACTGTGGCAGGAAAGCCTGCATGTTGGGCTTGTCCTTCTTTCCACATCACAGAGCTGTGAACCAACCCCAGGAGCTGACCTGGGAAGCAGCAGGGCTTAGTCTTAACTGTCCGGTTGTGGCTGGCTACACCTGCCCTTTGTAGGTGATCAGCCTAGCAGTTGAGCGCAACCTCCTCTGCCATGTCGTGTGTTGGGGCTTTGCAGAGGGTGGAACTTGGGATGGTCTTAAGTGCGAGGCTGAGTTGAGGACAGTCCAGGAACTTTGGTGGAGGCCTGCTGGAAAGTGGGTTGGCATGTAGGCAGCTGGTTCTGCCAGAACCCAGCTTTGTTCCAGGAGGATCAATATGTTTTTGAAAGCTTTGAGCACAGCATGAATTTGGGGTTTATGTGTGTTTCTCCCGTGGGAAAATCCAGGAGGATAGGCATAAGCATCCCACCTGTCTGGCTAGAGCTGCGGCTTCGCAGGCACAAATGAGGCACATGCTCCACCCACGTCTCACCCCCCTGGGGTTGCACAGAGAACCCTGTGGCCTCATCTCACAATTGCAAGCTGAAGTCCTCCCATGGTCACCTGGCCCTGGCCCTCACAACTTCTTGTCCTCACTGCTTTGAGGCACCTTTGCATTTTTCCTTTCTTTCCCTTTATCCCTCCTCTTCTGTTTTCTTGCACAGTGGCAGGTGGGAGCCGGGTGGCAGGCTGAGACCTTCTGCAAGCAACCTGCAAGTTCCTTTTAAGGCGAATGCTTTATTTGTATATTTTATTTATTATAAGCCCTAGAGGTTTCTTTTTCTTTTCTTCTTTTTTTTTTTTTTTGGTACCGGGATTAAGTCCAGGGGTGCTTATTAACCACTGAGACAAACCCCCAGCCCTTTTTTATATTTTATGTAGAGACAGGGTCTGGCTGAGTTGCTGGGGCCTCACTTTGCTGGGGTTGGCTTTGAACTTGGGATCCTCTGGCCTCAGTCTTCTGAGCCACTGGGATCACATGCATCCGCCAACCCTCCTGGCTCCTATAGGCTTTTTATGTGGTCTTGCATAGTGCAGGGACTTGGGGACATGTATTATAACCTTGCTGCTTGTGCCTGACAGGAATCTGGTGAGGCTTTCCTAGCTAGTGTGGCTGTACCCAGCATGTGCTTCATTGAGCATCTGTGAATGGAGCATTAACATGAAGTTTCTACTTAGAAAAGTTTCATATATTAAAGGTTGACAGTTTTCAAAACTACCTGTACCACCTGTACCTTTATCTGTATCTTTACTGGTTCAGGTCGTGATGTGTGCGCCTCCTTTTTTCACAATCATTTGAAAATAACTTGCAAACAAAATATATTCCACTCTGTAACACTTGAACATGCTTTTTAAAAATTTTTTTTAGTTGTCCATAGACCTTTATTTTATTTATTAATGTGGTGCTGAGAATCTAACCCAGTGCCTCCCACATGCTAGGCAAGTGCTCTACCACTGAGCTATATCCAGCCCCTTGAGCATGCTTTTTATAAGGATGTTAACAGTCCCATTAGCATATGAGATAAATGACAGTGTTATAATATTTAATAATGCAATTTGAATTAAAATTTACCCAGTTGCTTCCCAAATGACTTTTGCAGTCCCCTCAATCCTCACTGCAGTACAGTTTCTGATTGCATTTGTCCCTTGCCATCTAGTTGCCTGTCCTTTGTAATGTCACTGTCCCTGTGCTTTATACAAAACAGTGTCATGGAGCAGTTCTCAAACTTGATTGCAAACCCCAAAGCCTGGGCCACACCGCAGGTGTCTGCACCTGACGTGGAAGTGTTGCATGTTGAAGTAACCATAGACAAGCAGGCTGCAGCCTGCAGGCTTCCATTATTGATTCAGGGAGCTCAGACTCAGCCACTAATGGCTGTCATTTCTGAGCACTTGGTGTGCCAGATACCAGACACTGCTGCATGCTCTCATCTACTCCCACAAGCTGTGAGCACGTGGCCAGCTCTGTTGTGTGGAAGAGGAAATGACATCAGAGGCTTAAGCAATTTTGTTGCTCAAGGTCACACAGGGTGTGATGTCAGAGCCAGGATGCCGACCCAGCTTTGACGGCAGAGTCCAGTTAGTAAGGCTTAAACGGGCTCATGTCTCACAAACACAGTGCTAGGCCCCTGCCCTAGGCGCTGACTTGGTTTGGAGCCTGGCTCAGAGGCCCACCCTTCAGTGTCAGGTTCTATGTGGCTCATGCCACGCCCCCTCAGGGCTCAGCTCTGTTTCACCTATGCTGTTCCCGTGAGTACCTGAATCATCAGTGCCATTTTCCTCCTGAAAACTCAGGATGTACACCATTCCCAGTAACAGCTTAACATAAAGTTATCTGGGGAGTCTTTTGGGGACATCGTGAAATTAAATTTTCTAAAAGTACTCAACTTCAGGATGTATTTGATCAGTCTCCATACCCAGTACGGTAGGGTAGAAGTCTAAAAATGCTCTTCATAAAATCTGAGGTCTATTTCTAGTAAATACCACTTAAAAGTCTCTTAAAAATCGAACAGTAGTGTGTGGATGAAAGTGACCTGATGCGAAACTTTTCCACAAACCTCCATGAGAGCTTGATGGAGCATCACTCAGATAGGTTTTGGGCTGTGCACTGTCACCCACACAGGCACTAAGGAATTTTTTCAGACATCATAAATGTCTTTTCTTTGTGGCAGGGGTCCACCTTCTTTGAATAGAGCCCTTGCGGCCCTGCCACTGCGTCTGACCTGTATCTTTCTCTTCCTCTCTCCCTGCTCCTCCCTAACCTCACCAGTCTCAGGGGACAGGCTTCCATTATTGACTCAGGGAGCTCAGACTCAGCCACTAATGGCTGTCATTTCTGAGCACTTGGAGTGCCAGACACCAGACACTGCTGCATGCTCTCATCTACTCCCTTTCTTCTCTCTCCATTCTGGGCAGAGCTATCTGTCCCTGAGCACATACCCACCATAAGAACAAAGTCATCCAGACTTCGGGGATGGCACCAGAAGGTCTCAGAAATGACTGTCTCTCAAACTAACAAGTGAATTACCACTGCAACAGAGTTTTAATGCAACATGTGGAAGGTGGTCTTTGAGACCCCCTCCCTGTTCCCCTTGCTGGGCAGAATCAGAGCCTCTGGGAGCGTTTCTCCTTTGGTAGCAAAGCAATAAACTTCCTTTTTCTCAAAACTGTGCCCTAGTTATTGGATTGACATCGGGGACAAGGACCAACCTTTCAGCAACATGTTGATTGTGTACTTTTTTTTTTTTTTTTGGTATTGGATATTGAACCTAGGGGTGCTTAACCACTGAGCCACATCCTTTTTATTTTTAGAGACAGGGTCTCACTCAGTTACTTAGGGCTTTGCTAAGTTGCTGAGGCTGGCTTTGAACTTGTGATCCTTCTGCCTCAGCCTCCAAAGCCAGTGGAATTAYAGGTGTGCTCCATTGTGGTTCATCTTTACTTTTTTGTTTTTGTGGTGCTGGGGATTGCGAGGCAAGCACTCTACCAACTGAGCTATATCCCCAGCCCTTGATTATCTACTTTTAAAAAGCATAACCCCAGCTAAAGAGGCAGGGCAAACGCGTGATAGAAATATTGGGTGTTTTCACAGTGCATTTTTTCCCCTTAGCTGTGCATGAGGATTATGTTCAGCCTCAAGGATAGAAACTGAACATGGCTTGGACAAGCCCACTGTTGGTTGCCTCCTCTGAATGCAGCCAGTCTGTGGCTGACATGGGAGATCCATGGGCCTCCCCCAAAACTTGACTAGTAAGTAGCCTGCTGTTGCCTGGAAGCCTGGTAACACAGGTAATGCAGTTCATAGGTTATATGTGGTATCTATGGTGAAACGTGACCACAAGCTGCAAAAGATCACTTTTTTTTTTTTTTTTTTAACTTTGTTAGGCAGTTTCCTGGAGAGAAACAGTGCTCATGGTGTAAGGGTGTGTGAGGCAGATGCAGCACAGAGCCCGCCCTGGCACGACAGAAGGTGGCTATGGAGTCACCACAGCAGACAGCATGCACCACAGCTAATTCTATGAGGTTGTGATTTAATACTGCATCTTTACCCTCACTTACATTTCTGTCTACTGCCATTTATGGTCTGTCAGTTTTGAGGTAATTTTTTATAAATTTTAATTTTTTTACTTTCTCTTGATTGTATTTCTGGACCCACTGTAGTTTGTCGATGCCCTTCGTAAAATGTGAACCTCTTTGTTCCTGGAAGGTGGGCACCTGAGGGGGCTGGGCTCTCACTGATCTCTGTGTTCTCAGTGCCTCAGTGGGGCTGCTCCAGCCAGGCGCAGTGGCTGTACTCCCAGAAGCTCGGGAGGCTGAGACAGGAGGATCTCTAGTTCAGATCCAGCCTCAGCAATGGCGAGGTGCTAAGCAATTCAGTTAAGACCTGTCTCTAAATAAAAAAATACAAAATAGGGCTGGGGTTGTGGCTCAGCCCTAGGGAGGGGCTGCTTCACTACTAGCCATTAGGCCTGTATTCCATGTGGAGGTGAACAAAGGGAGAGTAGAAGTCCCCTCCTCTGAGGGACACTTCCCAGAATGCGCACCATTTCTGCACACTGTCTAATGGCCAGAATTGAGTCAACATACCACCCAGCCACTAGAAAATATTCTGTATTTTGAACAAGATATGTACCACTAAAATTCAAATGTGATTTTGCAGAGGAAGAAGGAGTGGATGGAAATGGGGTCAACTGGCAGGCTTTGCCAAGGTACAGATAGAATTTCAAAATCATCGTTTCAAAGGACTCAGTGGTTCTTTGAGAAGGGCAAAAATGGCCAGTAGACATTCTAGAGCTTTCAGTAGCTATTACAGAGTTCAGGTTTCAGTCGATGACCCTAGAGCTCACCAGTCTAGAATTTTATGTGGCAACCACATGGAGCCAGCTGGCCTGGATTCTGGGGCCCTCAGAACCTTGGGCCATCTGCAGTCTCCCCCGCCCTCAGGACCCCTCCAGCTGACCCAGGACTCTGAAGAAGTCCCTTTTTGGTCTTGGTGTCCAGAACAGGACTCTCAGTGGGGCGGGCTGTCACTTCCCCTCTTTCCTGGCTCCAGTTTCTGTCCCTGCTCTTGTTCATTGTGCTTCTCTTTCTTTTTCCATCCTCCAGCTCCACGTCCTGCAGGGCTGGGCTTTGAGTGCTCTCTGTAGCGCGAGGTCCTTCAGGCATCTCCAGTTCCACGTGCAAGTGATTATGGTCATGGTGGCTCCACATCTGGAGGTCAGGACTCACTTGAAAAATGTGGGTGACAGGAGAGGAAGAAGTGCTGCTTTGCAACTTCCTCTTCTTTTGGTCGAATGCCCCAGGCACTGAACCCAAGTGTGCTAACCACTCAGCCATATCCCCAGCCCTTTTACCTTTTTATTTGAGACAGGCTCTTATTAAGTTGCTTAGGGCCTCACTAAATTGCTGAGGCTTGAAAAACTCGTAATCCTCTTGCCTCAGCCTCCGGAGCCTTTGGGATCATATGTGTACTTCACTGTACCTGGCTTAATTTCCTCTTTTCAAATATCACAGTCTTCCCTTTCCCTCAGAAGACAGTGAAGTGGCAGGCTGTAGCATTTGGGGGCAAGGTGGCTGTTCTCAGGTGGCTCCAAGTGGCTGGCTTGGGTGCTGCTGTGTTCTGGGAGCTGACCTATTTGTGGGTTCAGAAACTCCATCGTGTCAGAGTTGTCTGAACCCAGGGGGCCAAGCAGACTCCAAGAGAAAGACATTCATGATCAAGAAGTGTGGGCTGGGGCGGGGGCTGGGACTCAGGGCAGAGTGCTTACCTAGCACACGCAGGGCGCTGGGTTCGGTCCTCAGCACCATGTACAAATAAAATAAAGGTGTCCAACTTCTACTAAAACAAAATATTAAAAAAAAAAAAAAAAGAAGTATGGGCTAGGCCACGCATGAAGCACACACCTGTAATCCCATCAGCTCTGGAGGCTGAGACAAGAGGATCTCAAGTTCAAAGCCAGCCTCAGCAACTTAGTGAGGCCCTAAGCAACTCAGTGAGACCCAATCTGAGATCCTGGGGATTAGGCCTTGAACATACAAATTTTGGGGACACACCACCCAGCCCGTAACATGGAGAGATCTGCAGAGAACCTAATTTAAGAAAAAACTTTCCAGCCGGAGGAGGCATAGACCCGTACTCCCAGTGACTCAGGAGACCGGCAGGAAGATAACAGGTTTGAGGCCATCCTGGGTCATTTAGTGAAATCCCGTCTCAAAAAG